TATTATTATTAATTATTATTATTATTATTATACCCCATCTATCTCAGTGGGTTGCCCCAGCCACTCTGGGCGACTTCCAACATAGTATCAAAACATAAAACATTTAAAAAACTTCCCTATAGAGGGCCGCCTCCAGAGGTATTCTAAAGGTTGTATAGTTACTTACCTTCTTGGCTTGGGGGGTCACATAACTCCATACCCTCCAACATTTCTTTTATGAAAATAGGGTTGTCCTAAGGAAAAGTGGGACATTCCGGGATCAAATCAGAAACCAGGAGGCCTTTTGTAAATCCAGGACTTTCCTTGGAAAATAGGGACCCTTGGAGGGTCTGTCTTTATGTTTTTAGCTTTTTGTATTTTATCTGTGGAGTTTTAATTTGTGTAAGCTGTCTCGAGTATGGGGGGAAAGGTGGGATATATATAATACACAACAAATAACAACGCCATGTTCTGACAACACATATAGTGCTGTATTGTCTTCTGCTGTTTACACGTGAACTCGCTACAAGCAGAGTTAATGGTAAATCAATCTTTGTTCTCAATGAGGCCTGGGAGCATGCACAGAGTAGTCACTGACTCCTCCAGCCGGGGGTCACACCTCTGGGTCAAAGGGCCCACCTGCCAGAGACTTAGTTGATAATGCATACATTAGACCCTGCTCCTGAAAATGTGTTGCAATGGTTAGAGTCAAAGAAATCTGGTTTTGGGTGCCGGTCCAAAACAGCGGTTAAACCCCAAACATATGATGCTCCTGTAGGTCAGCTGACTGAATCATGGAACATGCTCATCATCCAGCTACCTCCATTGACTGCGCCATGATGAACTTAAGGTAGAAAAATGAGCTAAAGTCAGCAGTGGCGGCTGCCCCATTGCCTGTGGGGGGGATTTGAAGATCAGGGTGTTTTGCTCAAAGGCCAGTTCCTCTGATGATGTAGCTCCACGGCAAAGCAGACCTCACCAATCATGCAGCCCGGCAACATTTTCTGTGCAACTGCAGCTTTCAGCGGAGACATTAGAGGCAGGACATTTCTCTGGCTAGAAAGATTCCTATCGCTGCATACGACATGTGAGAAACGTGCCAAGTTGCCATAGCTACTTAATAAAAAAGAAACTTATGAGTACAAGGCGCTGCCTGACAGTAACACTCCCCCCCCTTTTCACAAAATGCCACTAGTGAACATTCCTCAAAACAGGCATTTGCTAATATCTTTATATTTTAATGTAGCTGCCTGCAAGAACCAGATGGTGTTTTTGCAGTTTATAACTTATAATCAATGTTTGCAAAAAACCCGATTTTTTAAAAAGCGAAATGAGAATAAAAGAAGTTTAAGTGCACGTGATGCATGCTTCAGTTCAATCCATTTGTTTGTTTGTTTTACACCGTGCTGTCAGCATGCATAGCACTTTGCAGGATATGATTGGCAAGTGTTAGGTCCCTGCCCACAAAGTGCTTACAGTCTGAGATAGACCATAGAGAAAACAACTGTGGGGGAGCAGGGAGCAGAGAGCAGTGGGAGTTAGGAACCAAAGTTTCAAGGTACAAATGTAGGCAAATACAGCTACATGTCCTTAAACCCGAATGCGTTTTTAAAAAGTATTTATTCACAATATTGTTATGGGTGTGTGGAGTGCCCTAAATCTCCTAAATTCCTGGGTACCAGATTCCCACCCCCCTTAAATTCCTGGGTGGTGTGGTTTAATCAGTGCCCTGAGTATTAAGATGTATTGCCGGATGTTAAGATTTAGCAGGGTAAAAAGACAGGCTAAACCGGTTTTCCCCAGACCGGGAATCCCCTAGGAGATAAGTCATTAAGAAACAAAGACAGGAGAGGCTTTGCTATACACAAATGGGGGAGAGCTAGCAAAGAAAATGCCAAAATTGGGGTGGGGGGTGTTTCAGAATGACTGTGGGCCTGAAGTAAGTAAACAGGGGGGAAAGTGTTGGTTTTGAAAGCTTGGAGGGGAGGGGAGTCAGAGCACAATGTCAGTGGGGAGGAAAAATCCTTTCCAGTCTGGAAGTGGCAAGCAGGAGAGAGAGATGCAGAGCCAGGGTTGAGGCCCCTTTAAAATCTGAGACTGTTGCACCTATGGGAGATGCAAGAGACCTTCTTGGCATGTAATGCTGGGATTCCCCTATTGCAGATATCAATATTATGCAGCTTGAAGCAATAGAATGAATAAAAATTGACTCCTCTGGGAATAAAAATGCTCCAAACCCAAAATACGGTTTCCAAGCTTTACTAACATAACTTGCTGCAAAACAGAACATAAAATGTTATGATACATCCAAATAGTTGCATACGATCGCATGCATTGCAAATTTGGAGAAGTGTGAATTTCGAAGGATGGCTGTGCTTTGGTTCAAGTATATTTTTGGAAAATTTGAATAAGCTAAGTTTGCCTTTAAATGGGAACTGAATTGATTTTCTCCCCTCATCCCTACTCTCTTTCTCAGTCCTCTTCCTTGTATTCAGCCCTAAATGTTTCAGACAATCAGAGACCTGTTCTTCTTCCTTCCTCCCCCCTTTTTTTGTTGCTTATGCTGTAAAGAGGCATTTGCATTATTGCCATAAAAATAATATATTTTAATTATTCGTGATTGGTTTGTGAGCAGCAGTGGAAAATGCGAGCAAAACTTTTGAAGGCAAGTCACCAGAGATGTTTGCATTATATTCGATGGACACGTTTGCTTGCGGACAAATTGCTGCAAATGCAGCCTCAGCCTAAAGCTCTTCTTTACTTAAAGTGCATGGTTTAAGTAACCACAAAGATTAATCAGAGAGGCAATGGGCATGATCCAGAGAACTGAGGAAGCAGCAAAAATTGCATGCATGAAGCAAGGATGCATTGCACGTAGTGAGCAAATGCGTCCATCGGCTTTCGCGTATAGCCATGCATACACATGGCGGTTTATTCTGTTTCCACAACTTTCCCCTAACTGTTAATTTTGGCATTGTACTTGAGCTTTCACATGGCATAAAAGCCACTTCAAGAAAACTACCATATGGGAGAGGCACATGTTTTCATCTTTGCTCTGTGGGAACTTAAGCTTGAGCTATAATAATTCTCTTCGCAGATGTACCCAGTTTAAGAAAATAGACATGGTAAGAGAAATAATTACAGCGAACCTGTGGCTTCATTCACATGACAATTTACCCCCTTTTCACAACTTTTCCCTAACTGTTAAGTTCTATTTGAGCTTTCACATGACACTAAAACCACTTCCAGAACTATAGTGGGATCTGGTGCACATTTATCATTGGTTTCCATGTTATTTGCTTCCAGAAAAAAAATATGTTTGTAAATAATGTGGAAACGAGTACTAAACTTGTGCTATGTTCCACAATAGTTCTGGAAGCGGCTTTTATGCTCAACTATTATTTGGAATTTAACTGTTAGGGAAAAGTTGTGAAAATGGAATGAACTGCCAAGTGAATGCAGCCTGGGTTGCACAATGGCCCTGTTGCCAGAGTTTAAAGGTAAAGATAAAGGGACCCCTGACCATTAGGTCCAGTCATGACCGTCTCTGGGGTTGCGCGCTCATCTCGCTCTATAGGCCAAGGGAGCCGGCATTTGTCCTCAGACAGCTTCCGGGTCATGTGGCCAGCATGACTAAGCCACTTCTGGCAAACCAGAGCAGCGCACGGGCATGCCGTTTACCTTCCCGCCGGAGTGGTACCTATTTATCTACTTGCACTTTTTGGTGTGCTTTCGAACTGCTAGGTTGGCAGGAGCAGGGACCGAGAAACGGGAGCTCACCCCGTCGTGGGGATCCGAACCGCCAACCTTCTGATCGGCAAGTCCTAGGCTCTGTGGTTTAACGCACAGCGCAGAGTTTAGTTTTTCATTATTCCTCTCCCAACATTTTTCCGAGCTGCACGTTGCAAGGCTCAGGATAGACAAAAGAAAGCACTTTTCCCACACAGAACACAGTTAAACTGTGGAACTCAATCCCACAAGAAGCCATGACGGTGACCAACTTGGATGGCTTTAGAAGAGGATGGGACAAATTAATGGAAGATAAGGCTATTGATGCCTACTAGTCGCGATGGCATTGATCTGTCTCCATTGTCAGAAGCAATACACCTCTGAAAACCAGTTGCTGGGAACCACAAGCATGGAGGAATGCTATTGTTGCACTCAGGTCCTGCTTTCGGGCTCCCCAGAAGAAGTATCTCTCTGGGAGCAAGATGCTAGACTAGATAGCCCCCTTTGGATTGATGCAGCATCCACCCAAGTTCTTGCTATGCTTCCCATAACAGATTTGTGCTCATCTGTTACATTCTCAAAACCAGGGCGTTTGCATTTTCACTCACCCTGAGCTCTGAGGATATGTTGGCCTATAAATCTAAGTGAATAAATACATAATGTATATTGTTTGTGTATGCAGACAATAAATCATTTCCCCATGTTTGTTCTGTGATTAGTTTTGTTAGTATACAAAGACCTTTTAAAGGCTCTTTAATCTTCCCATTTTCATTTTCAACAGGTCAGCAAAACAGATCTCTTGGGCTACTGGAGAAGTCAGAGGCAGTTCCGGCGCCTGCTTAATTTACCTTAGTCAGATCCTGCACCATCCTCCACTCCCCCCAATTGAAATGCCGTGCAAGTTCTCCCTGGGTTTTCCCACCATTTTTATGGGGTCATTTTTCATGGCTATAATGTCACTCCCTGAAATATAGATTTTTAAGCCTCTGCTACTGCAGGGAGAGTTTTGCTACAGTCCTGGCAATTTGAATTCTATCAAGGCATTATGTCATTGTTAGCACTGGAAACACGAGATCCAGAGGGCATCACGGAAGGCAGGAATCTTGGTCTCTGTGGCTGAACGTTATTTTGCTAGCCCTGTGTGAGGAGATTTCAAGGTGACCCAAAGTTGCCTTCACTGGGGTAGGGGAACCTTTGAGCCTTGAATCATAAACACAAGGGAAGCTTATTTCGCAAAGTGGCATGGACGCTGTTGCCTTTACTATTTCTTAGAGAAACAGGACCACCCTCTGCTAGTCTCCACCATCCCCAGAAACCTCCTCCTTCTTCTTCTTCTTCTTCTTCTTCTTCTTCTTCTTCTTCTTCTTCTTCTTCTTCTCCTTCTTCTCCTTCTCCTCCTCCTCCTCCTCCTCCTCCTCCTCCTCCTCCTCCTTCTTCTTCTTCTGTATTTTGCCCTCCTACGATGCAATTCTGCCTACCCCAGAGCCCTCCAGTCCCCGGATGGCAACTCCTTACTTATACCCACTTCCTGCCTCTCACAAAGTAGGCTGTTACCTGTGCAAGCTCTGAGCTCATGCCACAACCAACCAGGTAACCTTTAAGGTGCCACAGGAATCCTTGTCTTTTTGCCGAAGCATGCTGCCACCGCAACTCTCTCCCAGGGCTGGAAGGAAGCTACTGACACATCTCTTGATTCTGTCACTGTTAACAAGCTGCTGTGTTTAAAATCCAGGCTGAAGAGCACCAGCGGTTTGGGAACATGGGACCAGAGCACTGTCAGCTTATGTTGCCTCATGAAATAATAAGCGAAGCGCAGATCCATTAGAGGGGCTGCTTCATGGATTTGATCATGGCTGGGTTTTTGCTTTTTATTAAGCCTCGCTTTTCTTTCTTATTTGAAGTTTTCAAGCTCTCGCCAGGATTCACAAGCGAGTACCTTTGCTTTAAATATGTGTAGATTCTGCCACAGTAACCTTCTGGAGGTCACTGGATGTCATCAGCCCCAGCCAGCATGACTTGGGGGCAAAGATGATGGGGCCAGTAGTCCAAAAATACCCAGAGGGCCACAGATTGTCCTTCCCCATCCCTGTTCTACAAATTCTGCAAAGCTCCACTGTGAGAAGAAGCTGCTTCCACCCAGGTTCCACAGGTGTGCAGGTGGAAAGCCATCAGAGGTGTGGGGGCCACCTGGGGTACTGCCCAGAGTGTCACATGCACGGCTATCTGCTTGGTGGGTGGACGTTGTGACTGTGTGTTCAGTGCAAAGAGCTCCTGGCCCTCAGGGAACAGGTTCATTACCTCAAGGTCAAGGTGGCTGACCTGGAGCCAGAGGCTCCGAGTTGCGCCCAACGTGGGAAGGGGCCGTAGTGCTTGCAGACATCACACATATGAAATACCGGTGCTCTAGGCTCCTCAGAGGGTCATGCCAGAGTGCTGGACCTTTGATACTCTGGCTCGACCCTTCTGACGAGCCTAGCATGCTTTCCTTTCTGGTGCTGATGCTCTGGGCTTGACAGAGGGTTGTTGTCAGCCTCTGGATTGAGTAGGGATGGTGGGAGCTGCCCCCCGTTCTCCTGAAGCTTCCCAAGGGCAGAAGACAGTACTGATTTAGAACAGTGGTTTGCAGAGGGGCTGGGTCCAGAGGAGAAAAGCTGGGAAATACTGGGTGAGAAGAAGAAGAAGAAGAGTTTGGATTTGATATCCCGCCTTTCACTCCCTTTAAGGAGTCTCAAAGCGGCTAACATTCTCCTTTCCCTTCCTCCCCCACAACAAACACTCTGTGAGGTGAGTGGGGCTGAGAGACTTCAAAGAAGTGTGACTGGCCCAAGGTCACCCAGCAGCTGCATGTGGAGGAGCGGAGACGCGAACCCGGTTCCCAAGATTACGTGACTACCGCTCTTAACCACTACACCACACTGGCTCTCCAGTGAGCTGTGAGGAACAGCTAGAAGAGGAAACACCAGGAGAGAGGCAGCTGGCAGATTCAGTGTCCTTGGAAAGCATTCCTGATCCCCCCCCTTCGCCTAAGACTGGACGGGCTTTGAAAGTGATAGAACAGAGAGCACAGCGGCAACAATCTCAGATTACCCAACGTAGGAGTGACGTAGATTAATAAGGATGGAGGGGGTGAACCTTTACTGGGAGCAACGCCATTTCTAGAGAGAGATACATTCTTTTGAGATTATTAAAGAAACTAACTGGTAAGAACACGCCTTTCGTTAGACCTGCTTATTCACTACCACCGGGGGAGGGATCCGATTCCCTGAAGCCTGACAGTTGTGCCAGAGTGCTGGATCTTCAGCGGACATGTGACAATGCACATCACACGCACAAATGGATAAGGTTGACGGTCAGGAAGGCCATCCGTTGGGAGCCTCTTCCACCCCCTCAACATTGAGCGGAGCTGGCCCCTTGCCCGGATTTTTCAAGGAGGCTGAAGACACCTCAGCCCCATGGAGTCAGTGTTCGAAATTAGCCAGGCGCCAGGTGCATTTTGCACCTGGTTTTCAACTACTTGCGACCAAGTGGAGATGCTTGGGCTCCAGGATGGCGCCTGACATCTCCATCATCTGTAGCTGCATGTCTGGGGAATACCTTGATCTGGACTGTTTTCACACACTAATGCACCATCCTGTAGAATTCTTTCAGTTATATTTTACTACACAATCAAAAATGAATTTCTGGAACCAAAATGTTTTTTCTGTGCAGCCTAAGCACGAGTGGTCTCCATCAAGAAAAAGTGGTCAGAATAGGCCAATATATATGTGGACTGCCCCTGGATGAAGTGACTTTTCTTCTTTAAGTTCCCATAGTTCTTAAGCTAGCTCAAGGTTGTCATCTGAACTAGCCAGATGTTTAACTGAGATTCAATCACAGTCAGTCCATCGTTTGAAAATTAAGTCTTCAGACCTGTTTTGCCCCACAAAGGCAACTAGACACTCTGTTTTGGCGACTGTAACATTGGTTTAAGGAGCCATTTGGTGCCTAGCTTATATATCTGAGTTTCTCACACTGCCTGGAGTTGACACCACTGCCTGAAGCAGTTGAGATAAGCAGAGAGGTTGGTGGAAGGGACAGAGTCACCCCGCTCCCAGTTGGTAGCTCCTCTGCTGTCATGGAGAAGACTGGTGTCACTCTGAGCAAGAGAAAAACGATCCTATAGAACAAACACATTCCTTGGGAAGTGACTAGATACCACCTGTCTCTTGTTACTCCTCCAAAGGCCGAAGGGCACCTGGCAGTGAGTGATTCGATCATCTGGAGCATACAGAGTTTGTTTGTTTTTAATGCTGTCTGAGCACTCAGACATCCTCCCCACACCCTCCAAAAACAAAACCAAAAAACCCCTGAAATGCTTTATTTACAGGAAGGCCGTCCATGTGATTTTTCTGCATTTTTGAATTGCTGCTGAACTGCTGGGAAATTTTGAATTCCTCCTCTCTGCTGTGCATCAAAATATCCATTCGCTTGTACTTAGTCCGCTCTGCCAAATGAAATGAAACAGTTGCCCATCTAACCCAAGAGCCATGCATCATGCAAATTTTCAAAGGCTTCTGCTGTGTATAAGCCACACACCTCCCATTAGAAAGAGCGCGTGTCTGGGGCCTGTGTAACTCTTTGAAAATTTCAGAGTTTGCTAGAGGAGTCCAGAGAAGAGAATAATCAATTTAAAGCATTTTAGACTGAACACCTTCTTCTGAAAGACATTGGAGAATCCCAAGGATGCTTTTCTATTCCCCTCTGCGAGACTCTCAAGCGGGGCCTTTGAATGTCCCCATTCACCTGTTCCCAAACTGAAGAACTGAGGTTTGGGCTGTTCAGTGGTCAAGAAAAAGAAACACAAAGCCGCATTTCTACTTTTTCATGTGCTGCGACAACATTTTTAGTTGACACAGTCTCCTCCCACTCCCAGATCTATAGATTTTAGAGTACTGTTGCATAGCTCATAGATCCCGATATATATAATTTATTGGACTGGCTCTGAGATGAATAACTCATTTGTTCCACATTTAAATGGTGTATGGACCAAATAAGGTAACTGCAAAGAGAAATATGCAGAACTCTGCTGCAGAATCCAAAGGAAGCATCTTGCATCCCTGCAGCACTTTCAAACAGAGGGCAGCACTAGTCATGGGTATCGCTGAGAAAGATACAGAAAACCGAGTTTGTGTTATAATTCATCAAGCCGTACTGCTGTGCAGTCTCCATTCATTGCAATGGGTGTTGTAGGAGAACCAGCAGGCTGCTGGTAGGATGAAACTGTCCTGGAGATACAGAAGTCGTCTTAGGAGGCCTCCTATGTGGCCAAAAAAGCTTGAGAAGATTTGGCGAGATTTGCTGGCAAACAACCATAACTTACAGTCTGTATGTAAGCCCCTGGAGGCGAAAGGGTGGCAGAGGGAGATGTCCCCAGTTATTCTTAGCTGGGGAATGACTTAGGAATGTGTCAGTCGTAGCCACCAGTTAAAACAGCTGAAAACTGAGGCTATGCCTCTCATCTCTCAAGTGCTTAACGAGGGATGGGCAACAAGGGAAGAGTAGCAGAGCATCTACATTCCATGCAAAAGGTCCCAGTTTCAATTCATCTTCAGGGAGTGCTGGAAAAGACTCCTGTTTGAACTCCAGCCAGTCATTGCAGACCATACTGAACTAGATGGACCAAAGGTCTGACTCTATCAGGCAGATTCCTACATTGCTGCATCTAGTGGAGGAGATGCTTGGGAGATTCCATCCATGGTATTGATGCTTATACCTTTGTGACCTCCTTTTGGTACCCCCAGCTCTTAGTTTTATAGGGACACTGTGCTTGAATGGGCTTTGAACCTCCTCTGCCCTGCTCTAGTCAAATGGCTCACTGTCTCTGGTCTACACAGAGAGGAGCAAATCTACAGGTAGCAGCCCACTCACAGGCAAAAAAAGGAAAAAGGAAAAAAAGGAGCATTTTATGTGTTCGTGCAAAAAACAAATTGCTCAAGGTGAGACTTATTTTTACAAGGCCAAGCGGAGAAGGACAATGTAAGTAGGAGGCTGGTGGCCTCTTGGGAACCTGCAGCCCATATCCCTGGTGTGAGGCAGAGGGCTGTTCAATGTCTTGCAACCCTCACTTGTGTATAGTTTCCCTGAAGTTCATGGAAGTTATTTTCCAGCCAGTGCATTTTGCATGGCAGACTAAGACCTCAGGACCCATATTCAGCATGGTATAATCCCTAGTGGATACAGCAACCCCTTGGCGTGATGATCTGAAGGTGAGGGAGGCCACCACCTCTTGCTGAAACTAAGCAGCTCTGGGATTGGTCAGTGCCTGGATGGGGAACCACCTGGGAGCCTTTGTGGGTTCCCTGATGGAAGAAAGGCAATATATAAATGTAAGAAAACGAATATATGAATAAAATGTTGGATCAGGGCTAGGGAGACCCAGGTAAAAATCACAGCAACCTTGGGCTGGTCACCCTCTCTC